AGTATGACAGTGCACGATCAGTATGACAGTGCATGATCAGTATGACAGTGCACGATCAGTATGACAGTGCACGATCAGTATGACAGTGCATGATCAGTATGACAGTGCACGATCAGTATGACAGTGCACGATCAGTATGACAGTGCATGATCAGTATGACAATGCTACGAATCAGTATGACAGTGCACGATCAGTATGACAGTGCATGATCAGTATGACAGTGCACGATCAGTATGACAGTGCACGATCAGTATGACAGTGCATGATCAGTATGACAGTGCACGATCAGTATGACAGTGCATGATCAGTATGACAACGCACGATCAGTATGACAGTGCATGATCAGTATGACAGTGCATGATCAGTATGACAGTGCATGATCGGTATGACAACGCATGAGGCGGTCAAAGCTTTCTGATACACAACCATATAGTTGAAACAAAAATAATGACAATTACCACGAACCACAAACTAGCTTCAAGTTCAAAAGTAATTTCTACATATTTTATCTTTTGCTACGAACTTGGTAGATTACACCGACCTCCTGAACATCAGAGTTTCAATACTATAATTTTTAAGAGGTTTTGTGTATCTTCATGAAATTTTTCAAGCTTTTAGTAAACGATACAATCTTTTATAGACAAAAAAATCTGAATTTCTAATAAAAAACTATTACCAAATGTATAAAAAAAAACATTTTCAGATATTCAGGCTGTTTAAAAAAGAACATATGTTGAGTATCTAGGGAGGATCGACTGTGACAGATATGTAACACAATTCAGACATATTTAAAAGGGTGGATTAGTGAGACATTCCTTTTGCAGACCAACAGACAGCTCTTTTTCTATCATTCTTTTTTTTTCTTTATGTATGGATATAAATCTACTCTTGAGCACTGGTAATTTGACTGTGCATTCAAGATACCAACTACAAAGCATAGAAAAATAATGACAGGCTATCTTTTACAAAGCTTTAGCACAATAACAAAATCAGTCACTATGTGATGACATTGAGGTAACTGAAATCATTCTACAGGGCCTCTTAAATCTCCGTAATTTTGACTGACCTTTCAACCACGAGAGTTACATATTATAACTTTTAATGTAGTAAGTATATCTTCATGAAATTTGGCAAGCATTTAGTAAACATTATAAGTCTTTTGTACACAAAAAAATAAGAATTTTTAATTAAGTATTTAGAAACAAAATTCAAGAGTTTATGGAGTGGGAGTGTGACTCGAACTCTGACTGGTTTGAGTGCAAGATGGTTGTCATGCTAAGCCTAACAGTTGTTACATTTCACTTGCATAATGTCTAGAATCTTCTAAAGGAATATCAAGTGTTCTCAATAGAACTTCATATTTTATCTGTTATATTCTCTACCCTAACATTAAACAGACCTGGTCCATTTGGCAACTTTGTAACCACCACAAAAATATACGAAATAAATCTAACTTGCCCTTCTTACTTTCTCGAATAACTGCAAATTGTAACAGAAAATTATGTTTTTCCTAAACAGCCTCAGGCTTGGAACAATTTACATCTATTTCTATTTACTTTTATTGTTTTATTGCTTTTTAAACCCTGTCCAACTACTAAACCTGCATAACAAGCTAGAAATCATCCAGTGAATGCATAGCTTAAGTTATGATATTCAATTTCACAAGCTGCTCACGAGCATAACTCATGAAGAATTTTTTATTTTTTCATTATTTAACCCAATTTAACCTACTAACATTTTTGTTACTTCTATAACAATGCCCCCCAGTTACACAGCGGTATGTCTGCGGACTTACAAGGCTAGAATCCGGGTTTTCGATACCCGTGGTGAGCAGAGCACATATAGCCAATTGTGTAGCTTTGTGCTTAATCACAAACACACAAACAATCTATAACAATAAGTAAAAAGTATGCATAAAATACAAGAAATTTAGTGCTTACATTTAGCCTTTTATTTTCTTGCTGTCGGCCACAACTGAAACTTAACCTTATTGTAACGACAGTATTAGTACAAAAATAATTTTTATTTATTTAAAATATACACTAAAGAACACAAAATGATACCATGCACAAAGCAAACAATGTTCTATAACTATTATATTTTAATTGGCTTTCTAACAAAGGTACAAGTGCCCTAAAAATTCTCTTAGCTGGACGATCTGATTGGATGATAGCAACTTTGAATCTATAAGTCAAATAATTCGAAATCTGTCAAGAGAACGAAGCTAGCATTATATATATATACAACTTGGTAAATTAAAGCTTTCTTTCTATTGGTTATAAATGATGTAATAGCGAACAACAGAAAGAATTATTGACAATTTGTAAAAAAAAAAAAAATAAAAAAAAAGGATGTGATGGGAGGGTGTGGCAAGTGGGTTTTCCTTTCTAGTTTACATCTTTATAAACAAATAAAACTGAAGACTATAAGATTAATAGTATGCTTTATAATATTATACTATAAATGTGTAATTTATGTTAAACTTAGAACAGAGGTGATGAAAAAACAGAAAATCTAAGCAAACAAATGTCACGTGATACAGAAGAGATGAAATTGAGAAGTTGTTAGAATTTTTCCTTTAAAAATTAAGAAATTAAAGCTAATATAATATTAAAATTTGATATATTAACTACATTTTGATGCTAACTTTATTTTTATATATTGGTAATCAAGCAGTTTAATTAAATTTCGAATGTATTTTTGTAAAAAGTCATTACATGCACACTTTTACCTATCTGTTTTTGAGAGGGTTAAATATTTTAACCATAGAGAAAAAATGTGATTCTTGACAGAAGAAAAATTCAGCTTTCTCCAACTTAGTCACTTCTTTAATTTTTTAAATAGGTTTAAAAAAACAGATGTAAGCTTGTAATAAACAATAAAGGCACTACAAAAATCTTCAAACAAGACACGACTTAAAAAACTCACTCTGTGCAGAAATCAGTAACAACCTCGTCAGAATTGAGTTGATGTCTGAAAAGAAAACTACATCAAACTTGCATGCAGGGAAATGAAACAAAAACAGAACGTCTAGTTTTAATTGTATAAGATTAAACTAAAGCTTGCAAGAAACATGCAGATACTTCTACTCGGGCCTCTGAAGAACCATACAGAAATTTTTACTTCTGAGTTCAACACAAAAGCATTAGTTATAAAAAAAAAAACACTTGAAAGACGGAGGAGATAATTCAGATGAACAATGAGAAAATTAAAAACGATAGCATAGCAATAAATATTAAATATAAATAAAAAACTTAATACTTCACTAGTAGTTTCTAAACGGAAATTTTTTCATGTAACTCATACTTTAATTAGTGCATGAAGGTTTAAAAAAACAACAACAACATTCCCACCATTATCAAGGCAACAAAATTATACGATATTCAACACTTATTTTAACTACCCATGCATTACCATTTTTTTCTACTTTGGAAGAATTCACAACACATCATACTTTTGACTGCTATGTTGAAAAACTGAAATAACAAGAAGTCAACTTTAACTGAGCTAGTTTTTAACATGCAAGATTCCAATATACATCTTCTCACACCTCTTTTCTTTCAGTATGTCTTTCTTTCTGTCCGTGTCTTTAGGTATACACAAGTAAGAAAAGAAGATAAATAACAACTGGAAGAAATCAAAGTCATTTTTAATAGTAATACCACATTAGTGGAAGAAACTAATCATCCAGAGTTGATTTTAGTACTACCACATTAGTGGAAGAAACTAATCATCCAGAGTTTTTATTATAATTTGTGTAATATACTTAAAAACATTTTATAAATTTAAATGATATCCTACATGCTAAAGTAAATGGCATGTAGCATTTCCATTAAGAAACTTGAAGACACTGGGACACGTGGTGCTGGTCGTGGAAGAGGATTGCAGAATGGAGTCCCCTCTGGAGTGAATGGTGATCTCTGAGTTAGTCCTCTAGTGACAAATCCTTGTCTGGTTAACCTGAAATTTACAGTAATATATAATCTGTCACTGTGGATCAAGCAGGATATCACCAAAAACATTTACTAGAAAACCATGATAGAAATAAAAATGTAAAGATATTTTTGTAAAATTACAACATGTTCATGAAATAATGTTTTAAGTTAGTGATACACTATTCTTTCAACAAATACAAAGATCTTAACAGTTATATTTGACTTTATACTGAGCAGTTGATAGGAATTCTATAAAATACCGTTCACATTATCAAGGAAACTATAATAAGAATGCAACTTTGTAATAAACTTGTGTCCTAATGATAACTCTTTCTGTAGGGGGGTTAGTATATTACACTGACATTAATACCCCAAAGTAACCATCAGTTTCCATACTATAACTTTTAAAATGGTATTTTTATGCTTACAAAATTTGGCAAGATTTCAGTCAACATTACAAGTCTTTTGTACACAGAAAATCAGATTTTTGACTAAACCTTTATCCGTGAATATGTGGAGTCAAAGTATTGACTGCTCTGAGTGCAAAGTGATTTTCGATGTAAGATTAAAGATAATTTTCTTCGTCTAAAAATTTTCCAATTTTATTTGTGTAGCCACTGAAGCTAACATTTTCCTGAACTGAAAATGTATTTCTGATAGATACTTATCTCCACTCACAAAAAGCTTTCTCGACTTATACTGCCCTCTATTGGCACAACTTTTCGCTTGCCACCAGTCTTGATACTCCCACTTAGTTCTGCATACTAGCATGCAAATGATTATGCAGCAACCCTCCACCAATAGGAGTGTGATACTACCCCTATCGTAACTAGTGCCTTCTCCAAACTTGCAGTTGTTAACCACTTCAAGATTGGGCAGAGCAAACCAAACCACACTGGAAATGTGAGTGGAGGTAAGTATCTACCAGAAATACATTTTCAGTTTAGGAAAATGTTAACTTCTGATACAATATCTTACGTCCTCTTACAAAAAAGCTAGAATCCCACATTAAACAACTGGAGGACCGGTGAGAAGATGATCCCTTTTAGGGAGCACCCAAAGGAAGACCACGGGGTGTGAGAAGGAATTAAAAACATCCTACCCATGGGAGACTGTACCACTTCTGAGTCAGGTATACTCTTTGTCCTTTAGTATGTTTCCAAAAAAGGGAGGAAACATGGGGGGGACCCCAAGGAAAAAAATACAGAAATAATGGGATCCTCTGGTGTAGAGTGGCTCGTAAGTGGGAGTTTAACCCGAATCATTACTTGGCAGCATCTAGAATTGTACATCAGGTCTGCAGTAGGAAGAGGGTCCTCTACCTTTCACCTCAAAAACGGTACTGGGAGGGAAAAGGAGCTTTTGTACCGAGAATCCTTCTATGCATGCATACACCTCCAGCACAACCAACACCAAATCCATCAGGAATTGATATCTAGCAGATGGCAAGAAGATGGAGAGCCAAGGTGGGTGTTCCTTTCCTGTCCAAAACCCGGTGGCATGGGAATGTTTCACCCAGTCTACAGTAGGAGGAAGGTACCCAGCCTTAAACATGCAGGAATTCACGTATCTTATCCAGCTACAACCAACACCAGATCCACCACTATTTGGGGTTGTATCTCCAGTCCAAAACCTGGTGGCATTGGGAATTTATCACCCCGTCTGTGGTAGAAAGGAGGGTGCTTCAGCTGGAGTAGCAAACTAATATATGGCAGAGTGCTACATCCAACAATAAGTAAACAAAAACACGATAAACATCCAACATGAACCCACCAGAAGAAAAATGTCTGTACACCAGCAGGAGCAGGGATTGCAAGGCAGGGTGATTAAAAGACACGTGACGACAAAAGGTCCAATGGAGTATGTGACAAAAAACAACATGCAAGACCATATAGAGGCACTAATTTGGAAGAGAAGCAGGGAGAGGAGGATAGAAAATGGAAGGAATGAAACAAATAGGAGATAAGGACAGAATATATTATAATTAAACAATCAAATCCACCAAAGAGGAAAAAAAGAGGTCTGGGCAAGTCCCCCAAAACAACACGAGAAAATAGTACTTACCTTTAGCCTCTTGTTTTCTTTTGCTGTCAGTTAATGATGAATTTAAACTACTTTTTTTTTATACCGATGGTACTAGTACATTAAATAGCTTGTACTTACTTAAATAATGCACCTAAGAATACAGAATGATAACACACACAAAGGAAACAATGTCTTATAACTATTATAATTTAAGTGGCTTTCTAACTATCCCATAAAAGCCTTAGATAATTCTGTAAGCTTCTTGATCAGAATACTGTGAGAGAAACTTTCAAACTGAAAATGAAATAGACTCTACACTGTATTGAAAACAATGAAATATAACACATCATTTAACAGAATAAAACACATTGATTTTATAACACGTCATTTAACAGAATAAAACACAATGA